CTACATGTAAAACAGGTATTATTTTTATATACTACTTACACTGCTGTACTGTTATATAACTGAAAGTCAGCCAAACAGAATTGTTTCAGAGTCAGTTACAGAGTTCATGAGCATGTTACAGACATGTATGTAGAGATCTGAAGTTTTCTTGACTATAAAAGTGCTCGAGATCACTCTTCTAACCCAGAAGCTGGCAGAGAGACAGACTATAGTCAAGGAGTTTATCAGCTCTCTGAGGGATTAATTTTCTGTTATAATTGAAGATTTTTTTTTTAAATTATTGTTCCTCAGAATTTGATGATGTAAAATAAGACCCGTTTGGAAAGAAACATGTGTATGTATTGAAAATTAGGATGTCCAAGTAGGTTGGTATTGGGAATATTTTTCACTGGCAAATAATTGCTTTATGTTATGTTAATGTATGTGTATGTATCTGCTAGAGTCAAAGCAAAGATTTCAACAAAAAGCTAGATGCACAGATTTTGAAAAACAAAACAACAAATCCCCTCCTTTGATAAGTAATATGGTTGTGAATTCTTGTTGACTTTTAACTGTGTCTTAGAAAAACATATCCTCATTTCAATGCATACATGGAACCAGTTGCTTTGAAGAGCTAACCCACAAATGAGTCTTTCTAGGTTTTACTGGCATAAACTATGAAACTGTTGCCATCAACATTTAGTGATCGCTTCATGCTTTCAGTTTAGGTAAACACCAGAAATAAAAATAGGGTCCTTGTCCTGGTGGCTGCTGTCAGTTATAAGGAAATGTTGCCTGTCTGGGGAGAGAGAGAGTTGCAAAATGATTTACTTCTGTTTCTTCTAAAAGGGGCAAGGTATTTTTAAAGCGTACTTTGTTCTTGAGCAGCGTGATTTGTAAGTTCTTTCTTAAGAAACAAGAGTAAAAATGACCCCTGCCAAAATACTTAATAAGGCACATTTTAAATTCAGACACACCAGTGCTATGGAAAGAAGTGAAATAGTCCCTCTAGTGTACTGCTGCTGTAAATGTGCGGAGGAATATCTGATGTGATTTACTGAAGAGTAGAGCTGCAGGAAATTACAAAATAATGTTTTGGCAAGGAGTATGAAAGTGCTTACATCAACTGGAGAGCCTGACCTGCAACAGTAAGTCGAGTGAAACAATAATAAATGCTGAGCCAAAAGAAAATTTGCTGTTGGTAGATCATAAAATAAGAAGTTAATGTGTAGCGTGAGACCGTTGTCTCTTGCCAGCTGTGCCCGAAACATGAATGAAGAGCAACACCACTTGGTCTGTGCTTCCCCTTAGAGAGCTGTAGGTTTGAATCCTCTGTCATATGTTGCATGAACTGACGATGTACTGAAAAATAAACTTGGATGTTCACATCTCCTTGAAGCAAGCATAGCTTTCTGTGACTTCTGAAGACTGCCTTAACGTCTATCTGACACCATTAGTTGGTGCAAAGGAGCCAAATCGAGGCTGCTGCAGGTGGGGCTTCCTTTTGTGCCTGAAAGTCTCTTGCTAACATCTCCCAATTTCATATTTGCTGGAGGAGAGTCATATAATTACTGAGTTTTCCAGTGTGGAGGGATGTAGTCATTGCAGGATGTTCTGGAATACAAATGTTGCGTTTCCTTCCCCCCCCCCCCCCCCACTTTCATGTGTTGTAGCTAGCCAGAACACAAATGCCAGTCTTCACTTGGTATTTAGTTTTCACTGCCTGTTCCTAGTAATGGGGGGTGTAAAAAGGCCCTGCAACCCTTGGTACATTTGTTTGTGCAGAGCAGAGGCAGCCATGGAAGCCCTGTTGTTCTGGCCTTTGTACAAGCAAGGAGTTTTGCACTTCTGCACTTTGGCTAAGATCCAGTTTAGTCTCTAGGCTACAGATGCATCTGAGTCCTTGCATTGGAAGAGAACTGGACAGTCATTTAGGGTTAAATGAGTAAAAGAGTATAAAGCTCTGCTGAAAGGAGCAGAGAAAGGCAAAAAAAGCACATGAAAAGTGTGAAATTGAATGTTATGGACTACTGTGTGTATGGTACACTGTAATTTTCCAGTTTGGTATTGCACTATATTTTAGCTTCCCTCATGCCAGCTGTGTAGATCTTCAAACTAGCACTCTTCTGGAAACTCCTGAGTCCATCAGTTGTTTGCAAAGCAGATGTTTTGCTACGTTTAGTTTGCTTGTTTTGATGAACGTCTGTTGAAACTCTGTTTTTCAACAATTTGGTCCATAGGTATCTGTGACCTTGCCCATGGACCAGGAAGTTTGGGAACTCTTTGCACTGACTTAGAACCAAAGAACTCAAATTTCCTTTGGAAGGAGAATTTTTTTTGCCTTGCTTCATGTTGGAGCAAATATATTTACGTGTTTGTGATGTTTAAATAGTGTGTTGACCAGAAGTGGTAGTTTTATGTGTGTTTACTTCAGTATTCCTGATATTTTCTCAGAATTTTTTAACAGCAAGTAAAAGACCCCTCAGTAGAAACTGTTCTGTTTCTTGACAGAGCACTGTTTTAAGCTGTGCTTTAATAGGAGCAGTCAGTGGGCAAGCATTACCTTTTATTTCGTGGAAGTTTTGGCTGTTTTCAGACACATATTTAAATCTTAAATATACACTAGGATACTCACTAAGTCTGAAGTTCTTAACTGTTTTGAAATAGAACGATAGTGATCTCTTGCCTATTAACCTTTCCCCTTCTGTGAAGCCAGCGTGGCCGGGCTGTATCCCACAGTGTGACACAATGCAGAGTGTGTCCGAGATGCTGCCAGCTGGTGTGATGATTGCCGTTTTCTTCTTAGTGGGTTATGCAGTGCTCAGGTTTTGCTAAAAATCTGCCTGTTGGCTTCCTACCACGAGTTTGTTTTTCCTGCAGTGCCAGACCTTCTTCATTCTACGAGGAGTGAAAATTATTAGTAGTTTTCTGTTGTCTCTAGTCAGATAGTGCCTTTCTCCTTTTCTGTCTGTGCATGTTCTCGTAAACACTTCTCCGCCTTTCTCAGTGTGTGTGGTTTTTTCTTTTTCTCTCTGCGCTCACTTCTCCCTCCCAAGATTTCCATTCTTGGAAGAGTTATAGCACATTTTGGGAATAGTATTTGCTAGTTATATTCCCAAAGTTCATACTTTTTTTTCCTTGTACAGATCTTTTTTGTGTTATCTTGAAGCAACCATTATTAGCTGTGAAGAGTAAGCCATACTTCTACTGGATTTTGATTATACTAGATAAATGAGAATCCCTCTAAGGAAAAGGGTTTGTGTGGGTGGAATAGCTTGCAAGAATTTTTTCTGTGTGCTGGGAAATAACACGTTGAAACAAGAAAGGGATATTTAGTTCATCAGACTTGCCGCCCTCTGTTTCAATAATCATGAAGCCTGTTTTCCTGTGATTTTGCCCATCAATGTTTGCCCATCTGTCAGGACAGATGATTTTGCTGGCTATTGATTTGTCAGTTAACTTCCCACGGTCTCTTGTCTCATGTGGCTTAGCAGTCCTGGGGTGCAGAGGCAGGTTTTCCTCTGGTGCAGAAAACAAAATTCCCTGCAACAGCAGGACTTCTTTTAAAAGGAGTCTTTTATTCCTTTTTGACCTTTTGACTGATATGAAATAATTTTAAATTAACTTTATTTCAATCAGCTTTCATTCGTAATTTCAAGAATCTACGCTAGATTGTATTGCAGTTCTATTTTTAGCAGAACTAATGTGCCCACACCTTTGATTATATTCGTAGCGTATTTATTTGTTTTCATTATTCTTTGACTTCTCTGTAAGGCTAAACCAGTTTTTTCGGTGACATTAATTTTCACAGCAGCTTAAATGAACCTGGAATGTTCCTTTCACAGGAGTTGTATAAGTTTAATTCTGAATTTTACTCATGTGGCTGAGACCTGATTTATTTTGAAGACTTTTTAACTTCAGTTTTAGGGCTGTAGTTGGTGATTATTATCTGTGGTTTTTACTTTGTCATTCTCCTGTGTAAACATGTCATTGTCCTTCCTTTGGGAGATGTACTTTTTACTCTGGGTTTTATGGTCGGGTTAGTCTTGTAATTAGAACTTCAAAAGTAAACAGTTTTAATTGTAGAGATTATTGCCAAGTGCTCATGGAACACAGGGTTGCTATTCTGAATTTCGATACTTCCAAAAATATCTTTGGAGACTTCAATTTAATATGGGTTTTAAGTTGTGAAGACCCAACCTGAAACTTCTAGGAAGTTCAGGGGACCCTTGTCATCGACAGTACGGAAATTCATACAGGGTGTCTTTTTGCTTTTCCCCTCTTTCTAGCATATAAAATTTGCCAATCTGATAGTGCTTAAAATAAGAGAAACTATTCGTGACAAAGAGAACAAACAAACAGCAAAGTTGGTCTTCTATTTTCATAGCTGACAGCTAAATAACCCCGTGTCTGTGACAACGTACATTTATCCTACTCTCCTTGATGTTCTCTCCTGCTTATTGCAGAACTTTGTGTGCTTACAGGAGGTACTGTCTTAGAGTGAGATCTTCCAGACTGCTGCAGTGTTCTGAAACTAATGCTTTAAGCCAGTCTGAAAAACGTGGCTTTGCTGATTTGGATTTGGCTCCCTCTTCTGGCCAGTGTTTGGAAAAGCTTAAATTAACGCTTTTCGGATTTTCTGTTTGGAGCTACAGTAATAATAATAATAAAATCTTCAGAGCAGTCTGAAAGATAAAACTTATTACAGTTGCCCCCAGGTTCAGTTGTAAATTTAATATTTGTGACATACGTGACCCAGTTTTAAATCCACTACTTGTGCTAAAACTTATAAATAAGAAATTTGCCTTTTCCTCCTTGTGCTCCTATCACATCCCCCAGCACAAAAGCTCATGGGATATTCGTGCAAGTTCAGTGCGCTCAATATTCGATGCAGACAGATTCTCTGTCTGTTTATCATTTGACGTGAAGTGTTGTTGCTGATAATTAAGCAAAACCAAAAGAAAATATTTAATTGCTTCTGTTCTACAACTAATTGTGGTTTCTCTTTCCTTCTTCTCCAGGTGATAGAAACACTTTCAAAGCTTTCTCGCACTCCTATTGCGCTAGGCACGGGAATAAGGTATGTCATGGTTGTACTCGGCGGTGGGAATAATCCCTCATGCATGATGCTCCTTGGAAAGGTTGTCAGAGGCAGTGTGCCCCAGTAAGAACTTCTCTGATTGTAAGCCACATTGCCCAGTCGACAGCCAGCCAAGGCTCTGGACCTGTAAGGAGCTTTGACAGTTATCTTCTACTTTGGTACAATTACTGAACTATATTTCCTCCTTGTGCTGAAACCCAAGGTAAACAAATGAGCAGTTAGTATCACAGAACTTGTGTGGTAATTGTGGTGCATGGATGATTGTACATCAGGCTGATGCGGTGCAGATCTCTGTGAAAGCAAATGGATTTTATCTTCTTTCTTTTTTCTAAAAATCAGCAAAACTGCTAAGTTTGTGACGTTCTAATTTTCAGAAAGAAACAAAGTCCCAACCAAACCAAACCTCATAAACTGTAACTGTGGCCTGTGAGGGAATGTGAAAGGCTTCATGCTTTGGTGTTGTCTATCTTTTTGAATGGTTTAATTCAGCAGTCATATATAAATGGATGATGTTTTTAAAACATAGACATAATTTCATAGCCAGTCCTGTAATCCATGTCCTGTGCTAAAAAGAGTAGTTAACAGTCTTGGTTGAAAAACTGACAGTGATCTGTATTAGTGGTAATTTATAGCAACCTCATCCAATAGAGGTTTTTATTATATGAAGTATCAATCCATGTATAGAAGTCTAAATACGTATATATTGCTCATCAGAGAAAGAGAGGATCGTGCAAACATGTTAACATACAATAATCTGTGTGAGAACTTTGGAAACCAAATTACAACTCACTGTGTGACTAAACTCTAGTAGTGCTGTATATAATTCACATTCTTTTTCTTTCTACAGGCCCTTCCCTACAGAAGAAAGCGTTGATGATGAAGATGTCTACAAAGGTCTTCCTGATTTAATAGAGTATGTTGTAAATCTTTAAGCTAAAAACTTAGACTTTCAGTTGCATGCTATTATTTCTATGACATTACAGAACACATAGTTTGAACGAGAATGGAGTATTTATTTGATTTTAAAAAAGATTTTGTTGGCCATTATGCTGACCAGAAAGGATTAATTCTGCAAGCTTATCTGAACACTTTTAATACATTTATAAGGAAGCATAGTTCGTAGAGAGTGCTGGTAGTAAAGGAAATCATGAATGCATTTTTAAATTATCTGTTTGTGCTATGAGAAGTCTTTCATAGAATTACAATCTTGGTTGTAAGGGACCCAGGAAAGGTGCCTTGAACTTGCAAAGAAACTGCATAATTCAAGAAAATCATAATTTAAGTGGGTTCTTTGCCTACAGGCAATTAAATTCCTCATAAGAGTGAATTTACCTCTCTGGGTAAGTATTTGCAGAATTATTAATTATTGCTGATTTTTGCATTGGTTTTGAAGTACAAGTAAGATGGACATGATATACAGTGTAGTAGTGAATAGTAGATGGCAGCTTTATTTTGCAGACTGATAAGATAAACACATCTGGGCGTAAAAAAGGAAGAAAGACTTTTGTATGCAATGGCTGGGATCTCTCAAGATCCGTTGGCAGGAACGTTGGACAGGAGCTAGGATAAGAGCTCATTGTCCTAAAGCTCAAAGTTCGCTAGTGCTCACCTTGCTGGTGTTCATCTTGTCACGTTGCCTGTCTCTTCCTGCAATGTGGTGAAGCAGCTGCCGTTCATGCCGTGATCTTGTTTCTTGACTTCCTGTAAAGAAGGAAGTCGCCAGCATGGTTGGCATCAGTTGCTCTGTCACCTTCCCTGCAAACTTGTTCTTGTTTCCTGTGTCTGACTGGCCGTCCCATAGATAGCTGCTTTGCACTCCGTATAGCTGCACGTGCAGAAGGTAGGAATCATAGAATCATTCAGGTTGGAAAAGACCCTTGGGATCATGAAGTCCAACCATGAACCTACCCTACAAAGCTCACCCCTAACCCATCTCCCCCAACACCACATCTAAACGACCTTTAAACACCTCCAGGGATGGGGACTCCACCCCCTCCCTGCGCAGCCTGTTCCAAGGTCTGACTACTCTTTCTGTGAAAAAAAATTTCCTGGTGTCCAGTCTAACCCTCCCATGTTGCAGTTTGAAGCCATTCTCATTTTTCTGGCATTAATTACCCATGAGAAGAGACCAGCACCATCCTCTCTACAATGTCGTTTCAGGTAGTTGTAGAGAGTGAGGAGGAGTTGCAGTCTCTTCTGAAACCCAAGTATGCTGAAGGTGATGTTTGCATCACTTAGATGTGGTGGCGTTAGCACTGTTTGAAAATAGTATTTCTGCCAGTTCCTGAATAGGTATACGAATTCAGTACTGTGAGATGGTCTTTCATTTTTATATAAAAACAGGTAAGAAATCATACCAAAGAAATTGAGGTTTTTATATCTTCTTTTGCCTCACTGAAATTTATAATTACATGCTGTCTCAATTACATGCTGTCACACTTCAAGAAGTACTATCTTCATAAGAGACTGTGGAAACCCTAAAAAGGACTGGTGCCTTGCAGAGCTGATGGTGACTGGCCTGTGCTGCACAGCTTTTTTTTTTTTTTTTTTGTAATTTTTTTTTTTTTGTAATTGTCTTTTTCTTTCAGTGAAACTGCTGTCGATGAAGATGAGGAGTTGTATGATTGCGTCTATGGAGAAGATGAAGGTGGGGAGGTTTATGAAGACCTAATGAAAGATGAAGCAGCACAGCAACCTGTACGTTTTCGAATTCCTAGCTATTTTTGAACACTAAGAATTACATTTTTTGAAAGTTGGTTTTAATGAAATTACCTCTTTATAGTTAGTTTCACTGAAACTTCACTCATGCTCAGTTCCATCTGGAGCTCTCATGACCTCCAATGTAAGACTTTGCAGGCTGTTTTAGCAAAGGGGTGAATGTTAACTGTGGTAATTTTTAAAATGAAATGTAATTTTAAAATGAAATATGATAATTACTTATGTTGTTAGGTTTGTCATAGTAAGATATACCAGCTATTTTAAAAGTGATTAAATCAACTGCTTACTTCAAAGTGTTCTAATTCCAAAATGAAGTTATAATACTGTGAAATGCACCTGTTTCAGCTGTAATTTGGACAACTAATCTAACAAGGACAACTGATCATTGTTTCATACTGTTGAAATTCCTGCTTATTCAACCACGTTGTCTTTGATCTGTGGTTTATGATAATTCCCTCTCAGGTTTATAAATGCGCTGCATGCTAATGTGATGACTTTGTGCAGTTCTTTCCTTTGTGTCCTATGGGAGAATTCCTTGCACATGAAAACGCTAGCAGAGGGCAGTCTTCATGTAGATTTTTAGAAGAACCCGATACATTGAAAAGTCTCCAGTAGCAGCCCTCATCCTTGATTTTATTGTCATTATCTTGGGAGGTAAACTGTTCTGCTAAATATTTTTTAGCAGTAGCTGACCTTCAAAGGCAATTTTTCTCACTTGTACTGGTATTCACCCTTTTTTTTTTACTGTCTCCCTCCTTTCATTTATTGCCCTCAAATTCTCAAAGTTTCTGGTACAGGTGGGAGGTTAATATCTTAATTTCTGATAAAAGTGCCCATGTAAAAGATCTGTTTGGGTCAAGTCAGTGCTTTTAAGTGGAATCCCAGGATTTTGTTTGCATTGCTCCTGTGAGAGTTGGTGAATAACAAACCCCCACATTTTGTGAATGGGTATAAACTCACTATTGGCTAAAACAACTTCTATGTTGCTGTCAATACTGCAAGGAATTTGAACACTATTAAGCTCACAGAGGTAAAGATGAAAAATAACTAGAAGCCTGAGTCATGTTAAATTCTAATACTTCCTTGAGATTAATTAACTGTGATTAACTGTGACAGTGCCTGCTTCTCCCCGCCAAAGAATTTGGGGATAAATGGTAGACTTTGAGATGAGGTTCGTCATCCGATGATGCTCACAAAATGTGTTTCTACTGATAATGACTGTATTTTTGCAAAATGTTTACCTCTGTCTACAGCTTATGAGGATAGCACTGTAGTGTTTGTTGTGTGAAAATTAACAACCCCCAAATTGAGTTTTAGAGAGTAATTTCTGAGATAACGCGGCACCTGGTAGTTGAAAGTGAGAAGCCACGTTGCAGTTGCAGGAGCTGCTTCTAGACTCACGTGGAGGCAGACAGAGAAGGGTAAAAGGGTTATGTCAAAGCAGCAAACAGAAGTACCATCAGTGCCTGTATGATTTGCAACCTGACATCTAGTCTGGGCAATAGGAATGCTTTTCCTACTCTTCGTAGGTCGCCATGGAATATTGTAGGAGCTCGACGTGGCTCCTGGGCAGCTCAAGTGTGGGCTGCTGCTTGCTGTGCTCACCAGCTGGGTCAGGCAGCCTGACAGCAAAGAGAGGGAGTGGAAGGAGTCTAGCAGTTGGATATACTGAGAGCTAGTTGTTAAGATTTCGGTCTAGAAGTTTTGCTGTTTCTGGAGGAGAAAAGTCTTGTATTCAAAAGCTGGAAGTCTTTTTCTGAGTCAAAAGAACTGTAGTATGAAGTTTCTAGTCCTGACTCCTGAATCTCATCATCAGGTCTCTTAGGTGCAGTCTGTGGTTTCCCTGTGCTGGGTGAAAGAGGGTAAGTCAGGGATATGCTGAAGGATACCTTGGGAGGATATTACAAACTGATAAATAGACTTCAAAAAGGATGTGATAATGCTGTTAGTTATTAAGCCACTGCTTGCTCTTGATTTTGGAGAAAAGGGTTTGGATCAATTCTTTTAATTGTAACAGCCTATCTAGTTACTGTGTCAGATCTGCAAACTGACCTTTACGTCTTAGATGTTTTAAGTCTTGCTTGACAGAATGCTTCCATACCTTCTTCTAGGTGTTTACTCTTTTATTTGAAATCAGGTTAGCAAGTTATTGAAGCTGTAACATTTAAAAAAACCCCTCATCTTCAGCAAGAGTGCTTGTAAACTATTTTGATAGAGCCTGTGCTGATAATTACTTCTAATTCCTACACATCTGGAGTTTTAGGTGGAAAAATCTCAGAGTTGCCTTGAAGACCCATGCATAGCTACGAAAGGGCTGACCTTAGAGGTCACTGTACTTCCTGATTCGAGGACATACTCACATTGTGTCTGAAGAGAAAGCTCCCCTTGAGAATTAAAAGGGAAAAAACCCCTGTAAATAAGTGCAGGGATTAGAGTGAATCCAGTATTTATGGCAATGCAAAGTTACTTAAATGATTTAGCCCCATTAAATTTAATGGAATTATTAACTGCTGAGTATTTTAAATAAGATTTCTCAATCTGAATGTAAATTCCATGTGACCTTGTATTTCAGCTTCCAAAGTACATGCAGAGTGTTCAGCGTATTATGTCTAAACATTAACTTTTCATAATATTCCTTTGATGCTGAATTTTAGTGAAACTCTTACAGTCATGAGCTAATTGAACATAGAAATATTCCTGGTTATTGCTATCATCTTTGCAGGCTGCAGTACTCAGAAAATTTCAGGAAGCAGTTATCCTAATTGCTTAATTCTAAACAAATAAATACATTTGTTATCCATTAGGTGCCTGTTAATGACTTTAAACTTGACTCCATTGTAATTGCAGAAATGTACTGAAAATGACATAAGAAGCTGTTGTCTTGCTGAAATAAAGCAAACTGAAGAGAAATACACTGAAACTCTGGAATCAATAGAGAAAGTAAGATACTGCTTCTAGCATTGTAACTTAACTACTTTTGTAACAGTCTAGAAAATATAATGATATAATGGTTGTATGCATGCATTATTTTTCCTTGCAGTTTTTCATGGTGCCATTGAAAAGGTTTCTGTCAGCAACAGAGTTTGATACTGTTTTCATCAACATTCCTGTAAGTACTTGCACATTTAATGAACAGTTCTAAGGTTCACAGCTAGTTATGATCTATTTGTGTTGTATGTTAGTGCACACAATGATTAGTTGAAATGTGGTGCACGATGGGTTTATGTCGATATTAGGGTAGTTGATAAAGATGTGCACGTGGTTTCATTTTTTTTCTGCTTTAAGGGGATAGATAAAAGAAATGGTATTATCATCTCAGCTAGTGAATGACTTTAAACTGGAGTGTCTTTGACCCGTGGAAGCTAATAATTTATAGAAGATGAGTTATCTTCTAATGTATTTTAGTGACGATACCAAGTTGTGACTGATAGGTTGCCTACTGCTGCGTGCTGAGTGGTGCTTTTGTGGGGATTTCTGTAGTTTCTTTGCAAATCCTTGTATCTACCCTGGCTCTGTTGACATCGAAGACATTGTAAAGTTAAGATAACTCACAATTTTGGATCCAGAATCTGGTGCTGGAAACGATAAGGAAATCCTTGGTGAAGTATCTAAGAGACCTCTTTATTTGACTGAAATAATAAAAGTTTCTGTGATTATTATTTTCTTCCGTTTTTGGCCTAATAATACTATGACAATTTACATAAATTTTTAGTTGATGTAGGTATTCAGCAGATCTGAACCTGCCTTTAAGGGAAGACATCAGGAATGGTCTGAAGCCTCTTTCAACAGAGGCAAATGAAAGGAATGTTCTCTTCTGAGGCACACCATAAAGAAAGAGTCTCTGGAGTGTGGCCCATGGACCATATGCAACCTTTTTTTGCCTGTTTTGGTCATTTCTGGCATGTCCCTCAGGCTCTTGGGGCTGTAGGAAGTGGTGATGGGGATTTTTTTATTGTCGGAACCTGGTCTGTAACAACGTTTTAGTTGCTGTTCCGGCACCATCCTGACAGAAGCTGAATTCCAACAGTCATTACGCTCATGATGATAACTGATACCTGGTTGTATTTGTTCTGCTGGTGATGTTTTCACCCTGAATCTCAATTGTTGTAATTTCCTTCTCTTTGAATATTAGTCCAAAATACTACCCCACATAGGGGGCCGGTTAGCTCAGTCAGAGCGTGGTGCTGATAACGCCAAGGTCGCAGGTTCAATCCCCGTTCAGCCCCCATGTGTTGCCTGATCTAGTTGAGAGGCGTCCCTGCCCATGACAGGGACATTGGATTAAATGATCTCTGAGTTCCCTTCCAGCCTAGGCCAGTCTAGGATTCTATGGTAGCGGTAACCTATACTTGCCGTCTTGAAATATGGCAGCTGCCCATAGAGATCCCTTTGCTTGTGAAAACAAATTTATGTTCTGTTCTACATTAACATTTCATATTCGTTGCAAATAAGGCCCTGATGTTGTTACTGTAAACCTCTTTCCTAAGGCTCCGTGTGCCCAAGCATGTTGACTTAGTGCATCGAGAGACCTAATGGCAACCACCGTGGAGCACTGCACAGGGGTAGAAAAAGGGTTTGCACACTGCAAGCACGGAGAGGTCAGCCCACTTGCTACTTGTTAAAGCAATGTAAGGGGATCAGAAAAGAGGAGAACAAAACCTGTTTGAGTCTAGGAAGACACAAACTGCTATACTTAGGTTCTTTTACTTTGCTTTTCTTTACCAGCGTTCAGTATTCTGCCGTTACAAGATGGTGCTTGTTTCTGGCTCCGGTAACCTTTCATAGGCATCTGGCAAAATGAAAAGGAATACAGGGCTTGCCTAAACCAAAAACATGTGCAAATGCTTTGTGTCCTCAGACCTTGTCTCTGTGGCAGTTCCTCGGCAGGAAGGCTGGAGGGCAGCGGAAGCTTGTCTTAGACTAAAAGTAGCTGTTACATAGAGCTCCACAGCAAGCTCTGATGCGGAGAGCAAGTGCAGTGTTCTCGGAACACGTGGATTTACCTCTGTTTAAGGGTTGTGGGCAAGGATCGGTGCTTTAGGGTGATGCTAAATTCCTTATATAGACACTGAAAAATGCTTGCTGGACAAAAATCATCTGATGTTACAATAATTTTTTAAGAAAAAACCCCACCCCAAACTAACCCCACCCCAAGCTATTCATCAGTCTAAGGACAAATCATTACACTTCAAGGTTCTGTCCTATAAAATATATGTATGACTTTAAATTTGTGTTTGTATTTGTGTACCTATGTTTATATATATATATATATATATATGCATTTGTATGTACATGTGCACACATGTATAGATACATTTGTATGTATGCCTGTGCATGCATTTGAATTCACGTGTATATGTCATCATGGAGAGGGAGGGAGGGATGGAATTACGTGTAACAGATACTCCAGTGTTAGAACTTGTATTAGCTTTTAATGGTGTTAGCATCAGTTTAATTAAAAACTTGACTTTGAATTGGAGATAAGAGACAAAATGTCTTTTTGAGTTCCTGAGATTTAAGCTATTTTTCAGGGACTTTGCTTAGTGGAGTCCCTTGCATTCATCAGAAAATGTGCTCCTGTAATATATTAATGGGGAAGCATTTCTATAACAACATCTTGTTTGCACCTTAAGGTTTTGAGGAGATGGCTGTACAATTAGTAGCAACTGAATCTGATCTGTTTTAAGTTTTTGCTCCCTCACCTGTGATACGATTGACCTTGTGCATACTTGTGCATATTTCATGAGTGTGAAGTGGAATGTTTTCATTTAGTTCGCAGCTCAGTATTGCATATTTTTGTAGTGTGTCACCTACTGTATTAAACCATCTTCAGTGGCTTTTACAAGATTTCTCTGTTTTTCATTGCAGTGGTCTGACCACTTGGTCAGTTATCCTGATTTTGAAACTTTTACCTACTTTAACTTAATTTCTTGTGTGTTATCTGATAGTATCCATACAGTATTAAGGCTGATGTACTGTCCTATAGTTGCTTAATGATTTTTCTATAACAGTGAACAAGTAAGGTGAGTTACTGCTATGCTCAGGGAGCAAATCTTTCTGCAATATTCTTGCCTTTCAGCCATTGCTTGCCTGCTGTATTGGGAAACTCATTATGATTGCAGGTAACTTAGCACTAGAACATCACTAATTGAGCAATGTAATGTATGAAACTAATTTTTCGCAGCTCAGGGACATGAATCGTTACTTTATCTTGTCACTAAAGCATTTACTTGACTTGCTTAATTCTAAAATTATCATTATAAAATGAAGATGAATTAAGAGTGCACATTCGAAGCCTGAATAAATTGGTCTTCAATGGGTGGTTCTTGGAGTTCAGTTTTTCTTGTGCAGTATATGGAAGATGTGGCAACCCTTGAAGTTACCTTCTGCTCTCAAATGATCTGTTCTCCAATTTATTAGGAGTTCTAACATGAAATAATTTATTTTTATGTTCAAAGCCTTAAGTTGTTCTGTCTTTAAAAAACCTTTCCCTTCCCTGTTACTTTTTTTAAGGATTTGGTGAAAATTCACAGAAATCTAACACAGGACATAAACGATTCCATTATTAACAAAAATGATCAGAACCTGTATCAAATTTTTATAAGCTACAAGGAAAGGTAAGGCTTATGCACTCTTACTAATTTGAATAATCTCTGCTTGCTTCGGTAAAGTATTTTACCATATTTTTGTTTGAATATTTCTGACACAGGATTTAATTTGATGTCAGTACACTTATGAAGCCAGTATTTGGTATTTTGAGGCTGAAGTAAAAATGCAACCTATTGCCATATGAGCCCCTCCTTTTCTTACTTCCACTTTTGGCAATATTGTTACATTGACAGATAACGTCTATAAGAAATCTTTAAATAGCTTATTTTGCATAGCTTTTTTTTTTCTTTTTTAATGCATATAATCTCAGGTATTTTACAGCATCAAACCTGTATTGATTAACAGATAAAATGTTATAAAAAGGGAAGAAGAGGTAAAATAGAGCAAGGATATATATATATATATAAAAGCTATTCCAGGTTAAAGAAAACAGCAGAGTTCATAACTTGAATGCAGAAAAAGAAGAGAAGACTAGATGTCCTCTGCAGTCAAAGGTGTGATGGTAAAGCAAACACGCTCTGCCTTCAAACTGCGAAAAACAGCCAAGCTGATAACAGGATAGCTGTGGCAGCATGCCATGCCCTGTAGGCTAATTGCCAGGTTTTTAACCCATGTTTTCAGATTGTTTTCTGTGCCAGCACTGAAGAGCTGTCGGACTGTAGAGCTGAACTTACATGCCTGTGGTACTTAGCTGAAACACACTTGCACTGTGGGCTGCAGCGCTGACCTACCTTGAAGTAACCCTTGGGTTGTGGTTAAAAATTAGTTCTTTCTGGAAGCAGAGCAGGAAAGACCTGTGGGAGCTAATTGGATTTGCTTGAGGGTGATGGGGAAGGAGGATTGTTGCAGTAATAACAGGCTTGTGAGAAATTGGACAGCAGCATCCAGAAAACGTTCAGACGGGAGAGTTGTTTTCGGAGGGAGGAGGGTTTTCCAGGCTGCACATAAACTGTCTTGCCTTGAGAGACCCTCTGTCTCAGCTTTTATGTTGGAGCAGGACATAGTTATTTCCCAGGCCGTAAGGCTTTCTGCTGCTCTAGAGGGGAATTAGGGGGCAAGAAGTTATTCTGGAAAGCGCTGATCTTTGAAAAGTAGGTCTGAAATGTGTGCTAGAGGGGGAACAAAGGACACTGAGAAGAAGCCTCACGTTTATGTTGTACAAAAAGGAAACAGATAGAGGTAGTCTCTGTGTCTTAACCATGTAGTGATTAAAAGTAATCAGAAGTGGTAAGTGTGAAATCATTATCATCACTTTCAGTTTGCTTGTGTGGGAAAGGTAAAAATTAGATGAGAGAAAAAAATTTAGGAGACTACAATGGAAAGCTTATGGGAGCCCTCCTCAAATGGATTTAGAGCAGAAGGAGTCACCTCAAGAAACATGAAAAGGTGAAAGGAAACAGCTCTTTGTGATGGGACTAGCAGAAAGAAGCACTCCACGCAGGGGCAAGAAACTCCTCTCTTAAAACCAGGTTGCTTCAGGAAGCATTACTGCCCTTGACAGCCGTTGAAATTTTCTACAGTTTTCATACACTATTATTCTGATCTGAGATATATCTGGTAGAAACTGTTGGAGATGGATCAGTCTGGGTAACCTACAAGGTCTTTAAAGGATAGCTGTAATTAATCCTCTTAGGCCTGTGTTACAGCATTTATTCGTTGTGGCCCTGGAAATCTGCAGTGTTATGCTGCTTTTGAATTTTTATCAGAACATATACATGTGAGTATTAAAGGAAATTGCAGTGATTTTACAGCATTTTGATGGTAGATCAAAATTGTGTTCTCACCAGTATTCTTCTTTGTACTAACACTGCCCATGGAAGTCTGTGGCTAAATCCTATCTTTGCTTTTTTAGGCACTGCTCCTTTTGAAAGGAGGATTATTAACAGTGTATTTGTGAAAAAATTATCAAGGATTGCTCTTAAATAAACAATTCTTCATTTTATTCTTTATCTCTTGCTTTGATTTAGATTGGTTATTTATGGACAGTACTGCAGTCAAGTGGAGATAGCGATATCATGCTTAGACAACATCTCTAAGACGAAAGAAGATGTTAAACTGAAGTTAGAGGTATTGTTTTTTTAATATATGTATATACACATATGTATATATAAATAAAATGTGTTTGTGTGAATGTGCCGTGCTTTCATCCAAGTCAAACTTTCTGTTGGCAAGCTAACTGGGCTGATATGGGAATGTATTTCTCTTCCTTTTCATTTTTGGGAGCCTCTGATCGATTGAGTATGTGTGCTTTTGCAGTACACATCCTGGCACTGAAGTGAATGGAGTTTTGCTAATGACATCAGTAGGGTTAGGATTTTTCTTGGGAAGTGTGATCATCAGCAATACCCTTCTGTTTATCGTGACATGTCAGCTGAGAACCCAGAACTGCAGAATCACTCAGATAGGGAGGGACATCTAGGCTGGTCCTACAGCCACACAGGGTTTGCTCCTTGCCATGACCCCCGTCCTTTCCAGCAGAGCTGCTCGTGAGCTGGTCAGCCCACAGGGTTAGTGTGTTCTTGGTTAATGCGTGCCAGGTGGAGGACTCTCCCTTTGCCTTGTTGCTTTCATGTGAAGTTCTTGTTCGACATGGCCCAGAGGAGTGTCACCTGCCCTTCCATCCTGCCGCTAGCGGTAGATGTCCTCTGTTTTTTCCTGCAGTTTATTGCTGAAGATACTAAATGAGAGAGGTCCATGGACAGACTTCTGAGCAGCCCTGCTTGCAACTGTCCCTCATGTAGTGTAGGAACCATTAGTCACTGCTCTTTTTGAGCCTCGTGATCTGGCCAGTTTTTCATATACCTAGTAGTTGGTTCATGTGGAGCATAACACCTCAGCCTGGATAACATCAGGATGCTGTGGGAGATGATTTTTGAAAGCCTTGGAAAAGTAGGTAGCCTCTCTGCACCCATTTACAGATCTAGGCATGTTGTTGTGGAAAGCAGCCAATTAGTTCAAGTGCTGATTTACCTGTGGATGTTTCCACTCACCTACTTCATGTCCCCAGAAATTGCTTCCAAAAGGGCTTGCTCCATAATTTTTGCAGGAGCTTAAGTGAGACTGACTGGCCTACTGGCTTGTAGTTTCCAAGATCTTTTGCTTTTTTTTTTTGAAGATAGTGGAAAATATTTGCTGCCTTGGGTAAGTAATGTTTCTTTTTTGGGTAGGTAGGTTTCTTTTTTTTTTTTCCCCAATGGAACACCTAATTTCTTTAGTCTTTGTGATGTTTATTCTACTCTTTATCATGTTCCTGAAACGTTTAAGGCCAAGTGTCTAGACTCAGTCCTTTTGTGCTTAACTATTATTATTGCCATATCAGCTGTTTTGCTGCATTTTGTTGATATTCTTTATCAAGTTTAATAAAATTACTTGGCCCATATATCGCTGAATTTTAACATATATCACTTCAATATTTTTGTTTTCTAACTCTCTTGTCTTATTCTTTCTTCTGCTTTGAACTAGGAATGTTCCAAGAGGGCCAATAATGGGAAATTTACATTGCGGGATCTTCTAGTCGTTCCAATGCAGAGAGTGCTAAAATATCACTTGCTGCTCCAGGTATTTTGTTTTTGAAATTTTAGGGAGCTGGGAGCAAAGCTGTAATTGTTTGTCATCAGTGGATTGTAAGAATGAGAGCTATAGGTCTTTGTTGAAGGGAGGTGATTGACATTTGCATAGATCTAAGACTGGTTTGAATAAAATCCAGTCAAGTGCGGGTTTTCTTACAGAGAGTGTTCCTCAGAGCTCAAGTGTACCTGGGTTAAAAAAGAATAAGCCACAGTTGTTTCCTCAGTATCTGAACCTTTCATTCTTGGTATGTTTAAGATGGTTAGTAGCACAGAGCTATAATCATGGTACTTAGAAATGTGAACCATTATCCTCCAAAAGAACAAGCCGGACCGTACATACAGCATACTTTTTAAATGCTTCTTCGCTGACATAAATTACAATAAAGCCATATTTATTTTGAAATGCTTCTGGTTATAACCCACAAAGCATTAGCTTTTGCAGTTAGCCTGTAATAAGGGTGGAGAGTCTTATAAATTTAATTTGATAGCTGTGCCAGGAGACTCATTAGTTCAGCTGCAAAGAAATATATTACTATATTAGACTGTCAACCCTGCTGATACTTGTAAAATGTTGTTTTAAAAAGATCTACTACTTGTATGTGAAGCATAATTTTGACTTTGCAGAGCAACATGCATTTTGTAATATTAAATTTTTTGAAATATTTCTGTGAGTCATCAATATTTTGATCAATGGAAAATTGGGGAAAAAAAATTAATGGTACAAGTGCTTTAAAAAAAAAACTTATGAGACCTGAGTCATGATTTTTTTAATCAAGCTGAAAAGGTGATATACAATATGTCACTATGTTCTGTGTGACACTGCTATATATGGTGTATAACAAAGAAATATTTTATAGACTTGGGAAGAAAATATCCAATAAATTATTAGAATTGTAATGTGAAGTATAATACTCCATTTCCTATGACTTTAGCAGGTTATGTTAGCTGAAATGTATAATTCTCTTTCAAATTATAAAGAAGAAATAACCTGTTTCCCCAAGAGATTACTTTTTCACTTCATACAAAACAAAAAAAAACCCTTTATTTTCTGTAAGGGAAATGTCTAAAAAAAATAATCTTTAAACATTTACATTTGATTTAAGTATGCCTTGGGACTCAGCTCTGTCTTAGCTGTAACGAGACAGTGGCTTCTTGAGAATTTATTGCCAGCGTCCATGCCCTTTCTGCGTGCTTTGGTGTGGGATGATGTGTACGTACCGTGTAGTGACGTGCAGGGGAACTCAAGTGTTTACCTGTGCTTTCAGCGTGCACATACAGAAATGATCTGATCTGGCGAGTCTGAAGTGCTCGACAGACCGAATCAGTGTCTAATGATGGTTCATTGTCAGCTACAGTCAGTGTTGAGGCTCTACAGCAATCAGTCATAAACACTTGCCAATTCTCATTTTGCAGTAGTTTTAGCTTTTCTTTTTTTAATTCTTTTCTGGGGGTGTGGGGATGAGCAATGACAACTTCAATTTTTAAACTGACAGACAATGGATGAAAAGTTATGACTGCTCTGTCCACAGGAGCTGGTGAAGCACACTGCTGATCCCATGGAGAAGGCAAATCTAAAACTGGCACTTGATGCGATGAAGGTAAATATTCATGGTGATGAAGTATTTATGTCTTTGTTGGCTGTTAAAATAGTAGCTCAGAACTGTTTTTCCTGGAGGAGATGATGTTCTTCACAGCAGATCAAATGTGTTTTCACAGGTCACGGTGAGCTCTGTGAGTATGTCAGGGCAAGTGTGTACAGCTGAAGGCTTTGCTCAAGTCTCAAGACAAGTTCAGTAGTTTTCTGAAGTGGAGGGTTTATGAAATGGAACTTTCTTATTTCACTTTACTTATACATCATTTTGCTGTCAGATAATGAGATGAAAAACAGGCGTTTCAATAATGTTGGTCTTGCTTCCAGAGAGGAATATTTAGGAATATTTCTACCAGTGTAAGTCAGTTCTAATCAAGGTCAGTAGTTTTCCCAGCGAGATGAAGGCAGTTATCTATCTTTACAAGACTTCTTTTTCCTGTCATCTTAATATGATCTCTGTGGCTTTACTTTGAAAGCAATTATGTCTTTCTCAGGGTAGAGAATCTATCACTGTGTATTCCCCTGTAAGTGGTACAAACAAATGCTCTATAGAATAGCTGTACTGCCTTATACATGAGGTAACGTGTTACGTGTTCCTCTGCACAGATTCACAAATGAAGCACAGTTCTGCTTCAGTTGGCCTCACAGCATGAAATTGCAACAGTCATGCTGGAATTGTGAATTTTTTTTTCTGTCCTTTTTGGGCAAAGGGGGAAGGAGGCCGACATAACATAGATCCTGTCTCCTCCTGTTGTAATCCGTATGGTCTACGGTCTGAAGTCAGACTAACTTAGTTTTGGGTCACACAGCCGTCTCGTATTATGTAACGGTCTGCGTTGAATGACTGGAATACAGGCGAGCTCACAAATGAGATTTTTACTTCCCCGTTTTTGTCATCCAGTTTTGGGCAGTGATGCAGAGAGCCACTGTGATAAGCTCCCCCAGAGAGGTGCCATAAAAGGGATGCGCAGTGGTCGCTTCTGCCTAGTGGCAAGCCATGCACCCTGGCTGCTGCAAACTGGTTAGGAAAATAACCCTGGTTTTTATTCCTCCCTGCTTCACTTTTTCTTTCCTGCTTCCTGACTTGCTTCATTGCTTTTGGTGGCTGTTGGACTGAAAATAGAAGACCAATTAAGAAATCTCTTGGCAGAATGGCTGTGGCAGTTATGTACTTGCTGCCAGCACACAACCAACCAATTAAAAAAAACAAACCAAAAAGCCACCACCCACGTGCCTCCAAGCCACAAAAACCATAAGTATGAGCATCTCTCCTTAAGGTTGCATCACCATCTCCCTTACAATTTACTGTGTCATACAACAGTCCTTGCCAGTGTAGAAGAAGTAACTGTGCAACATTGATGTGTTACTTCTAAAAATCCTGCCATGTCTGCTTGAAAATACAATGTCTTTGGAAAAAACTGCCAGCAGAGTGGTAATGCCTCCCAAGAAAGAAAATTCTAGGCGGGCTTGTGCTCAGATTTCTTGCAGTATCAAGAAAAGAGGTTATTTAATTTCTGCACTAAGTCTTTTAACACTGGTGTGAGTGTATCCTGCACAGATTCATTTGGGAAGCTGGCATAATGATTGCAGCTATTCTTAAATGCTGATTAAAAACGTCTCAGGAAGAACATGTATCTTTCTTCCACCCTCCATATATGTGACCATACTGAAGGGATACTGCAAAAGCAAGTTGTGAAGATCAGAATGCCTTTTCCAGCTGCTGCTCTCAGCATCCCTGACCTTACCAATTACCACTCCTGCTCACTCCCCATCTCCAGCCCTAAACAGAGAAGCCCCAGCAAATTGTCAGTATTACTCGAGCATGTTCAGAGCATTTGAAAGGCTTCAGTGAAATGGGCACAGAACACGCACTGTAAAGGGCCCAGTAATGATCTCAACCTGTGACTTCAGGTAATATATCCCATTAAAAGCTGCTTTTAAAATCTGCTGTCTAATGGCCTCCCTCTGCTGTGCAGCAGTAAGAGTAAGATCCTACTACTGGGGCAGTAGCTGCTTCTCTCCTAATACGCACCCAGACTTAAGATATGTTCACACCTTAGGTGCTGGTTCTATTTACCTTCTGTCTTATTCATAGATATTGGATGTTGTTGACTGTGTTGTCAGCAGCGTGCTACATAAATTACATTTCCGTCCTTGATTTCGAAAAAGACGACCTTAACGAAATTCAGAAAAAAATCAGCCCTTCTTTACATTTTATTATGTTTGCCTCTTTCTTGCTACAACATTTGAGTCTCAATACATGTGATGAGGAAAACCGTAAATACAGTTGGAGATAGAAGATACGCAGAGTCGTTTTTTTCCTTTATTTAGGCATACATATTGACAGCTCTTGAACATTAAAAATAAATGATGTTTTTTTCAAATGGCTACCTATGCAGAAGAATCAAAGACAAAATTAGAAATAAATTTGCCAGAATAATGTATTGAATTGGTCTATTATCTAAAAGATTTTTTTGCCCTCCCTTTTTTCTGTTGGTGTTCTAGGACTTGGCTCAATATGTAAATGAAGTGAAGAGAGATAATGAAACGCTCCGTGAAATTAGACAGTTTCAGCTATCGATAGAGAATTTGGTATGCGATACTCCTTTATATGTTTTTTTTATGTCACTTTTGGTCAGATATTGTTGGATGTATTTTTCCCTATTTCACATGCGATTATAGTACTCTCAGTAATATTTAAGTGCAAGTATGCTTTGCTTGGTTTAGAATGACATGAATATTTAAGTACAGAAATCTCTACTCTTTTGGGGGTCTGTAGTTCATTATATTTGCGTAATTGAAGGTTTGTAGTTGTTCAATGACTCAGGTGTTTTTGTAATGAGAAAGAAGATGATAATGGAATGGACTGGCTTTTCATTATATTTACTTTAGATGATAGGAAAAAACATGTGGTTTCAGGCCTGAAAAGTCCTTATTTGAGGGCAAAAGGAGTGAGTGGTCTAACATTTGAATATGTCGTCATCTTGACACTTGTGCTATATGGAATCATACATATCCCTTCTGTTTCAGAATCATTCCCTCTTACAGTATGGAAGACCGCAAGGTGATGGGGAAATCCGGATAACTACATTAGACAAACGTGCCAGGCAAGACAGGTGATGGCATGACTTCTGCTGTTCACTGTTAAAAAAGCCTGCAAAGTAACTCCTTTTAGATTTGAGGTCAGCTCGATGAATCTTGAGCATGCTGTCCATTTCAGTGGTCATTCGCAGAGCCTAACCACACTTTACCAAGTGAATTTGCAAAGCAATTCATGGAAAATTAGCTATTAAGCTATCACCTAACCCCCTTGCAAGTAGTTAAGTTTTTAGCAAAAATACCATCAGTGTGTTTTGTTTCGTTATTCAGTAGTTTACTTGTTCATCTTCCAAATTTTAAGAGCCACGGGCAAAGTGTGTTAAGTAAGACTTGGGGCGTTTCTGGAGTGTTTTTAACCATGTTTCTGTTGTATTTTCTTAGGCATATCTTCCTGTTTGATCTAGCTGTAATTGTTTGCAAACGGAGGGGTGATAATTATGAAATGAAGGAAATAATCGATCTTCAGAAATATAAAATTACAAACAACCCCACTACTGATAAAGAAAATAAGAAGGTAAGTATTTTATGCAAATTCATGTAAAATTTCTATTTCTAGCAGCAATCTGAAGCATTTTGCAGGAGGTCAGAATATATATACAATTTGTTCAGTGTTTTGTGTTTTAGATGTAAGCTGCAGTGAATATTTAGGGATTTATTTCAACTTTGTTTATTCTGGTGTAATTGAAATGTTTAAGTCGTTCTCAGGCGAACACAGTATTGTGGTCTTGCTATTCCCCAGATATGGGGAAGGGACAAATGCTTCTTCTGTTTTTTTTCTTTTTCACTCTTCATAACTGATGACCTTCGTATTACCAATCTTTTCATGCAGTGGTCTTACGGCTTCTACCTCATTCATATCCAAGGTCAGAATGGTTTAGAAGTTTATTGCAAAACTAAAGACTTGAAGAAAAAATGGCTTGAACAATTTCAGATGGCTCTGTAAGTATTTTTTAATTAAAGTGGAATCACATTCATCACCAGTGTAAAGATATCACTTAAATTATGTTGAACTGCTTTCATGTTTGGATTTTTTTAACACAACTTATTTATTTTATTTAACTTTCTGAGGAAAAACTGACGTTCACTGAAACTTCTCTTGGAAAAGGAAGAGGGCGCTCTAGGCTATGTATTAGTTTCCAGCTTTGCTGCTAAGATTGTTTTAGTAATACTCTCTTAAGTAACCAGGCGAAATATTAATTATTTTAACAATAAATATCTAACATAATAGTGACATTTTCCCCCCTCCCATTTTTAATTAGTTGAAATATATTTTTTGAAAGGTGATGCTATGCTGATGATTTGAGAGGGGATGCTGGCTTCTTGTGGCTTTTAAGTAATTTATTGTGTAGTATCTCAATCAAGTTGCTCGGTTAATTAAATGTAGTTTCAAAAGACTGATTTTCTTTGTATCTTTTTTCAACAAAGAAAGGAGATTGCTTTAGCCTTCTGAACAAGTTGTTCAGATGCAGCACTGCAGATCACATTGTTATGCAGCATGAGCATTATTTCCATTTCTGATTCTTGTCAGGAAGACAAACATGATTATTGACACCTCAGGTATTCTGATTAAATTTAAAACTTGTGAACAAGGGAATTGGATGACAGGCTGATGCTTACTATATGTTAAAAAAAAAGTGTGAGGAGGAGGGAGATACTTCTAGTAAAAATAGAGAGACAGCATTAATAAAGACTGGTTAGGATGTGATTGTAAGGGTGTGTGGATTCAGAAAAAAGGCTATTATGAGCTGAGTGAAACTCACTTTGACACTATATATATGCATTTTTAAAACCTTAGTGTGATGAGGGCTAATGATTTAAATGAAACCATAACAGAGGAGAGCTTGGGCTGGACAGGTGTTTTAATGCCTGCTTGCTAGGGTTCCCATCTCACAGATTTTTATTGGAGACAAAGGTCATGTTGTGGCAAAAATTTCTAGGTGGCATAGTGGGGGATTTGTTATGTGTGCAGACAGCTGAGTACTTTGCCTCTTTCTGTCCCTGTGCACTCCCTGCTGCACCTCCTGTAATGTCGTTCTGGATGTTTACTTAAAAATAAATAAAACATGCATGAAAAACATGAGGAACTTGGATTTATCAGCTTCAGTGTTGCAACTATCGATCACTCCTCAGGCCCAGCGTGCAATAAAACTGAACAAAAGTTAGCTAAGGGGCTAAAGAGAGCAGCAAGAGCACTATGTTTTTTCCCAGGAACATATCCTCGGTTCCTCCCAAAAGTTTTTACGGTTCTGTGAAGGACCTTTCCCCACAACACTGCCGTGTGGCTGGTGAGCGCGTGCAGCTGTGTGCAGCGCTCCAGAGCTCTTCCTGTTGCCCTGTGTGAGCAGAGCAAACGGGACCTGAGGGACTGACAAGTTCACATGCTCCTCTGTCCTCTTGGGCCAATGGAGTTGGATGCTGAAAACAATGAGTGGCCGTGTCAGCCTTGTCTTGTATGGGTGTTTGTATTTCTCAGAAACCCGTACCTCTGGTTCCGCCTCTTCCCGTGTGATGGCAGGCCACGATGGGGAGGTTTGGGAACGGGAGCAGCAGGGTTGCTGTGGGTCAGGGCTGAGGTGCAAGGGGCGGAAGTGGTATTATTTGCATTGGGCAATGTTTTTACTTCTTTATATTTATAACCATTAGGACTGAAAACAATGGGGAGCTTTTAAGCTTTCTAAAGATTTTATACCTTTCAGCCAACTCCATTACATGGGTTTGACTTTATAGCATGTTTCCCTCAGCAGTGCTCCCAAGGCACACCTCGCCGTATGTAGCGATAATTAATTCCTAATGCACACTGAGGCACAAGAGTTTGTGTTTGGGAGTAAACTAAGCCAAGTGTTTTGAACAATTGGTTGGTTAGTTTGATTGGTTGTTTTCAGGGGTCTCATTGCCTACTGTGTAGGTTATCTGTGCTAGTGTGATTCTAGTTTGAGAAGTAACCATGATTGGAATTAGGCTATTATTCATCATACTCAATTATAATTGCTGCTGCTATGCGCAAAAAACTTCGCATCGCTTAAAAATTTTACTGAGACTGCAAAAGCAGCATAGTGGAAGGGGTGAATTACATGCTTTCTTGATTATCAGAAATGATGTCGTTTACTGAGTTCCAGACAGAAATTTCAATGCAGTTCAGAATAGCCTCCTCTATGAAGTCAGGTTTGTTCAAGTGTTAATCTAAGAACGTAACAAGAGAAAAAATTAAGATTTCTCTTATTATTTTTAAATTAACCTTGCTGCCACTAAAACATGTTTATTGGCATAACTATGTTAGCTAGGCTATAATTCTTAATTTTTGTTTTTTAGCTGCTAATATGTTTATACCAGTGTATGAACAACAGTGATGGTAGTTAGATTGCTGAAAAGGCACCTGCCGTTGAGGTGCTGGTGCCCCTGAGAAGAGCGTTTGTCTCTGAATATGGGAAACTTGTTATTGATGAAGTATGAAACAGAGGAGAACACTGCTTTGCTAGCTGGGCTCGGTTTAGG